ACATTATGCTTTGGGGGTGTTTTTCTGCTAAGGGGACAGGACAACTTCACCGCATCAAAGGGACGATGGACGGGGCCATGTACCGTCAAATCTTGGGTGAGAACCTCCTTCCCTCAGCCAGGGCTTTGAAAATGGGTCGTGGATGGGTATTCCAGCATGACAATGACCCAAAACACACCGCCAAGGCAACAAAGGAGTGGCTCAAGAAGAAGCACATTAAAGTCCTGGAGTGGCCTAGCCAGTCTCCAGACCTTAATCCCATAGAAAATCTGTGGAGGGAGCTGAAGGTTTGAGTTGCCAAACGTCAGCCTCGAAACCTTAATGACTTGGAGAAGATCTGCAAAGAGGAGTGGAACAAAATCCCTCCTGAGATGTGTGCAAACCTGGTGGCCAACTACAAGAAACGTCTGACCTCTGTGATTGCCAACAAGGGTTTTGCCACCAAGTACTAAGTCATGTTTTGCAGAGGGGTCAAATACTTATTTCCCTCATTAAAATGCAAATCAATTTATAACATTTTTGACATGCGTTTTTCTGGATTTTTTTGTAGTTCTTCTGTCTCTCACTGTTCAAATAAACCTACCATTAAAATTATAGACTGATCATGTCTTTGTCAGTGGGCAAAAGTACAAAATCAGCAGGGGATCAAATACTTTTGTCCCTCACTGTAACTATATTCATAACCTACTCTGGGCGATAATATGATTCTGTGAAATACTGGGGAAATTGCTTTATTTTCTCCCTCAAATGCTACTTCTCCCTCGTAATCTGTTCTGAAATTTCTGGTTGTCCTGTGTGAAATGTTAGTGATTCAATCCAAATCATTTCTGTTGGAAAAGGTCACAGGTGTCTTTCCTGTGTTCCGTAAGTGCAGGCCACCCACCTCTTGCCAGTTTGGCAGGCAGGTAGGTGTAGCTGGACCTTTGCCGTTGCGTTGACCCTTTACAAACTACATGTTGTTTAGATATAATAGTCACATCTACTTGGCACCCATTTTGAAACAAACAATATTTGGCAAAGGCCATATTTCTGATCGATCTCTGCAGCCAATTAAAAATACATTCCTTACTTTATTGTGGGGGAAAATCTGCATTCATGACATCCAACTGATGATGTTCGGTTGACTCTTACTAGAGTGTGGTAGTGGTGAAGATGATGAAGATTGTATTTTACTATTGACCCTGTACCACTGTCCATAACATTAATCAATTAATTTATTAATTAATGCAGGAACAAGGCCACATCCATAGTTAGTTGAACAATGGCACTCTAGATTCTGGAAAACGACACATCCCAATTAGACATACTGTATGACTCATTTGATATTAACCCCACTGTGGACTGAGGGACGCTCCCCATTTATATTCAGGTATTGCCTTTACGTTAGCACTTGCGCACAGGGGCATCATGCACCCCAAAAATCTAAGGTGGCACAAAGTACGTGAGGATGGCTGGGGGGTGGTCCAGAGGGGGGCTAGGCCTCCGACCATAAGTTGGAGCATTTTTCCTGACACCTGAAACAGCTTTTTCCTGCAATCTAGAGCCATAACCATTATGCTTAATTCTATGTTAAAAAATATATGTATATTTTTCTGCATATCTAAGCAAACCTCTTGAGTTGTCTATTCTCCTGACTACCAACCTTGCCAGCAGGCATGCCAGCTTAGATATTTAGACAAGCTAGCTACTCTAACTTGATTGATAGCCTAGAAATGGCTTCTTGGTAGTTGTGAGGTTGGGAGATTGGGAACCTATCTGGGCTAGCTAAAGCCAACTTCATAAAATTGCTAGGTGGCTAGTAGTATTACAGAGAAACAACAACAAAAATAAAAAATACATTTTTAAAAATCAAATCAAATGTTATTTGCCACATGCGGCGAATACAACAGGTGTAGACATTACAGTGAAATGCTTACTTACAGGCCCTTAACCAACAATGCAGTTTTTTAAAGAAAAAGTAAAATACAAAAAGTTTTAAGTAAAAAAATAAAAGCAAATAACTAAAGAGCAGCAGTAAAATAAAATAACAGTAGGGAGGCTATATACAGGGGGGTACCGGTACAGAGTCAATGTGCGGGGGCACCGGCTAGTCGAGGTAATTTAGGTAATATGTACATGTGGGTAGAGTTAAAGTGACTATGCATAAATAATAAACAGAGTAGCAGCAGCGTAAAAGAGGGGGATGGGGTGGGGTGGGGGGCAGTACAAATAGTCTGGGTAGCCATGATTAGCTGTTCAGGAGTCTTATGGCTTGGGGGTAGAAGCTGTTGAGAAGCCTTTTGGACCTAGACTTGGCGCTCCGGTACCGCTTGCCGTGCGGTAGCAAGAGAACAGTCTATGACTAGGGTGGCTGGAGTCTTTGACAATTGTTAGGGCCTTCCTCTGACACCGCCTGGAATAGAGGTCCTGGATGGCAGGAAGCTTGGCCCCAGTGATGTACTGGGACGTACGCACTACCCTCTGTAGTACCTTGCGGTCGGAGGCCGAGCAGTTGCCATACCAGGCAGTGATGCAACCAGTCAGGATGCTCTCAATGGTGCAGCTGTAGAACTTTGTGAGGATCTGAGGACCCATGCCAAATCTTTTCAGTCTCCTGAGGGGGAATAGGCTTTGTCGTGCCCTCTTCACGACTGTCTTGGTGTGTTTGGACCATGATAGTTTGTTGGTGATGTGGACACCAAGGAACTTGAAGCACTCAACCTGTTCCACTACAGCCCCGTCGATGAGAATGGGGGCGTGCTCAGTCCTCTTTTTTTTTCCTGTAGTCCACAATCATCTCCTTTGTCTTGATCACGTTGAGGGAGAGGTTGTTATCCTGGCACCACACGGCCAGGTCTCTGACCTCCTCCCTATAGGCTGTCTCATCGTTGTCGGTGATCAGGCCTACCACTGTTGTTTCGTCGGCAAACTTAATGATGTTGTTGGAGTCGTGCCTGGCCATGCAGTCATGGGTGAACAGGGAGTACAGGAGGGGACTGAGCACGCACCCCTGAGGGAACCCAATGTTGAGGATCAGCGTGGCAGATGTGTTGTTACCTACCCTTACCACCTGGGGGCGGCCCGTCAAGAAGTCCAGGATCCAGTTGCAGAGGGAGGTGTTTAGTCCCAGGGTCCTTAGCTTAGTGATGAGCTTTGAGGGCACTATGGTGTTGAACGCTGAGCTGTAGTCAATTAACAGCATTCTCACGTAGGTGTTCCTCTTGTCCAGATGGGAAAGGGCAGTGTGGAGTGCAATAGAGAGTGCATCATCTGTGGATCTGTTGGGGCGGTATGCAAATTGGAGTGGGTCTATGGTTTCTGGGATAATGGTGTTGATGTGAGCCATGACCAGCCTTTCAAAGCACTTCATGGCTACAGACTTGAGTGCTACGGGTCGGTAGTCATTTAGGCAGGTTATCTTAGTGTCCTTGGGCACAGGGACTATGGTGGTCTGCTTGAAACATGTTGGAATTACAGACTCAGTCAGGGACATGTTGAAAATGTCAGTAAAGTCACTTGCCAGTTGGTCAGCGCATGCTCAAAGTACACGTCCTGGTAATCCGTCTGTCCCTGTGGCCTTGTGAATGTTGACCTGCTTAAAAGTCTTACTCACATCGGCTACGGAGAGCGTGATCACATAGTCATCCGGAACAGCTGATGGTCTCATACATGCTTCAGTGTTGCTTGCCTCAAAGCGAGCATAGAAGTGATTTAGCTCGTCTGGTAGGCTTGTGTCACTGGGCAGCTTGCGGCTGTGCTTCCCTTTGTAGTCTGTAATAGTTTTCAAGCCCTGCTACATCCGACGAGCATCAGAGCCGGTGTAGTACGATTCAATCTTAGTAATGTATTCACTCTTTGCCTGTTTGATGGTTCATCGGTGGGCATAGCGGGATTTCTTATAAGCGTCCGGGTTAGAGTCCCGCTCCTTGAAAGCGGCAGCTCTACCCTTTAGCTCAGTGCGGATGTTGCCTGTAATCCAGGGCTTCTGGTTGGGGTATGTACGTACGGTCACTGTGGGGACGACGTCATCAATGCACTTATTGATGAAGCCAGTGACTGATGTGATGTACTCCTCATTGCTATCGGAAGAATCCCGGAACATATTCCAGTCTGTGCTAGCAAAACAGTCCTGTAGCTTAGCATCTGCGTCATCTGACCACTTTTTTATTAACTGAGTCACTGGTGCTTCCTGCTTTAGTTTTTGCTTATAAGCAGGAATCAGGAGGATAGAGTTATGGTCAGATTTGCCAAATGGAGGGTGAGGTAGAGCTTTGTATGCGTAGTAAAGGTGGTCTCAAGTTTTTTTTCCTCTGGTTGCACATTTAACATGCTGGTAGAAATTAGGTAGAACGGATTTAAGTTTCCCTGCATTACAGGACAAATCTGAGGGGGCACGTGCCCCTATGGGCATGACGCCTCTGCTTGCGCAGACTATCATGTCAGAGCATGATGACATGGCCTCAGGTCTATGATATATAAGTGTTGTTTCGATGCTTTTTTGAAAACGCACTGTTGCAGGTTCATTGGAAGGAAAAAGAACTGTAGAAGAGGATATCCTTTTCATTGCAACTTCAGGGGAACATCTTCTGTCACAGTTAAACTCAGGTATTTGACAACAACTTGAATTGTTTGTTTCTTTTATGGAAGTAGTTGTGGTGTTGTGTGCAGATAATTATTGATAGAAATGTAGCCTATTTACCATAAATTGTAGTACTTAACTGTTGACTCATACAGTATTAACTATTATTCGATGGGGTGGTAATAGTTCACATAAAAGTTAATAATACAATATTGTAATTAAATAAGACATTACAACATAAGCAACTGCTTTTATTTAGTTTTTCCATTTCAATTGGTAATCAATGCAAATACAAAACAGATAAATTAAAACGTTTTGTCAAAGTGACACCTACATCCTAGGCTACTCAACATGTATCTTCGCTTTAATTAATTTAATTGTGATTATGAACATGATAAAATGAGCCTATATTTCATTCTCAGATTCATCCTGATCTCCTGAGATGAAGTTCAATGTCTTCGTTTCCGCTGTGGCTCTACTTGGTGCCTTCCAACCCCGCTATGAATGTAGAGCACTTGATCCATCCCACAATCTTCCCGCAGAGCTGCAACAGCAACTCCCTATTCTTCTGAGACTAGGAGAGGAGTACTTCAGTCGGCTTGACAACTCCAATCAAAATTCGCCCCAGTCCTCCTTGTCGAATACATCTCCTGGAGCTGCTGCGCCGTCAACAACGGTCAACAGAGCTTTACAACTTCAGCTTAGGCAGCGTCTTCTGCAAGGTAAAGTCGGTAACATCAGTCGGTTTCTGAACAGCTACGCTAACCAGATGGATGATTCCATGGAGAGAGGAAAGAGGACCTGGCCAGGCGAAGAGCCACCGATCTCATTGGACCTGACGTTCCATCTGCTGAGGGAAGTTCTAGAAATGGCTCGAGACGAGCAATTAGTGCAGCAGGCATATAGTAACCGAAGAATGATGGACATATTCGGGAAATGAGTGTTAGAAATACATTTGCCATAAAATGTACGTTACTATTCCATTTTTGTATTACTCTTGAATTGGTTAACATTCGTTCTTTAATTTATTATTTTTATTGATATAAGCAAGAGTTGTAAAATCGAGTTGTAAATCGCTTTGTAGTAATTACATTGTGTGATGAGAAGCAGACATAGCCAGTTGAAATGCTGAACACAAATATCATTTAATTTTCTTAATTTATATTCAAGAATAACATATTTTGTATATATTGTTCAAACATTCATCCACTCTGAAATGCCCTCTCATTGTACAACTGGTTAAAGTTTGATAATAAAATAGGCCTACAATATGACTATCAGCAGCCAATCATATTTATTGTGCAAGAGAATGTCTGATATTTATATTTGTAATAAAAAAAGTTTCAAAGTTACATTCATTGCTTGCGGTGTAGCCTAAATTGAGTGTCTCGATACATTGAGGCGTATTTCTGACTCACGCGTAAATCTATTCCCCAAAGGTGTGCCAAATTATACACGGCTTTCTCAAGACAGAAATCTGCCCAAAGACATTTGTTTTTACAGTATTATAGAAGTGCTAGAGAGGATTTTCAGAGAAATTACAGTTATATAACGGTAACAGAGTAATTATTTAAACCGTGCCTGCAGCGGGAGGCTGACTCAACCAAAACAATACCTAGTATTACAACAATTTCAAAGTCTTGAGGTAAGATGATCATCTACTTCTGGTTGTTCAGCCAAGAAAAGGAGAAGACGTGTTTGGGTCCATCTTTGTCATCTGTGTTTTGCTGACTTGATGCCGTATCAGAAGTAATCTGTAAAAAACAAAGAACAAAACCATTAGAGGTCCCTTATGTCACTTAACTATTGCAAAGGTACTCGTTGTATAAATCGTCCATTGTTCAGAATTGGGTTTGTAAAGGGGATCAAATTAAAACTCGCAATGCATACTTTACCCCTACCCCTACCTACATGTACAAATTACCTCGACTAACCTGTACCCCCGCACATTGACTCGGTACCAGTACCCCATGTGTATAGCCTCATTATAGTTATTTTATTGTGTTATTATTTTATTTTTTACTTTAGTAAATATTTTCTTAACTCTATTTTCTTCAAATTAAGCGCTTGTAGGTAAGCATTTCACGGTAAGGTCTACACCTGTTGTATTCGGCGCATGTGACAAATAACCTTTGATTTTGATTTGATTTGAACAAGTAAAGTATAATTTAGAGAGAACATAAAAAAATATTTATGTTATCTATAACATGTCTGTAGGTCCATGCAAAATTAGAACTAAAATGAAGGAAAAATTCTGACATGCCTCAAAAGAGGATATTAGACATTCAGAGTGGAAAATATTGTTACTTACATATTACAAAGCACTAATTTAACACAATTTTCATTAAGGAAATCAAATATATTGTAGAGTCTAAAGAACTTATTTGAGATACCAAATACAAAATAACTCTAACATAAAAATACATGTATACCATATTTATCTCACCACACTCACCACACCACCCATACAACATGATGTCCTGAATTACCATATCCACATCCATACAATAAGCTCAGAGTATACAATATCAGGCAGCAATTTGACCTGATAAAAGAAAATTGCACTGAATTGAAACTTCTCATGTTTTCAACTTAAAGGGGGTAACCTTTTAAGTGTTATAGACTGAGTGCTTAAGTATTAGTCAGTGGACAAATGAAGAAATAAACATATCCTAATGGTAGACTTTATCAGACTTCAAAGCTGATGCAGTAAAATAAACAAAGCCACAACTGTGACACAGAAAGCTACTTCCAGTGACGAAACAAAACAACCAAGCTTAATTTCTTCAGGATTATTAGAGTTCTTGTAAGCAACATGAAGTGATGATTTTAGGTTATGCGCACGCCACGCACACACACACTCACACAAACACACACACAAAGACCCTTTCTGATAAACGCCTCTATGAATCTGTAGGCCATTCTTTTTTTTTCCCTTCTGGAATGAATACAAACTGTTCCAGGTGGCTTTTCACTTTTCAATTGAATCCACATTATTATGTTGGTGTAAATTCAATGCTCATTCAAATCAGCACTCCACATGCAAATGAAACTCAATGGTGATGACATGTAACAGAGTGGTTGATAATTATCCCAATGAAAACAGCAGCGTCCCCCTCCCTGCTTCACCCCTAACACACGCAGGGCTACGGCAACCAGAGAGCAGGCAGGTGTCTCATCATTAAAGCCTCCTGCTGAGGTGAAAGCCACCGCCGTAACCCAGGCCAGGTCCCATGCAGGCCCACTCCGAGCTGAGCAGAGCACAGCTGCTTTAAATAGTGACTGGAATATTCCGATACAGATTGGATATTGACTGGTTTCAATAGCCACATTTTCCTCATACAGAGGGCAGGATATAAAAGCCAAGTAATATTAATATTAGTTTTATATTTTAAAATATACATATGTTTAGTGAACTGAAATTTGACCTTGACCTAGGGGTTTCCTTGAGAAATACACACTCTCTTTAAAGGCCCTTACAAGACAGCTGCTGGGATGGAGTTAGCCAGGGCTCATGAGTTATTATAATATCATTTATTATTGCTGAGAAATGTTCAGTAAATTTCCCGGCTAGGCTGTAGTGTGTCACAGACGCTCCTCTCACCTGTGTCGGTGGCTCCGCTGATGGGAAGTTAACCAGGTTTGTGTTTGGGAACTGAACAGGGTTTGTGGTTGGGGTTGAGAAGTAGACTGGGGTTGTAGCGCGGGCCTGTGCGGTGGCAGTTGGAGTTGGCGTTAGTGATGGGAATTGTACTGGGGTTGTAGCACGGGCGGGGCCCTGTGGGGTGGCCAGGGTAGCCATGACACCTAGGGTCTCAATAGGTCTCTGAGGGAGGGGTGGGGCTACTGTCTGCTGCTGGGGCTGTGGAGGGTTGGCCTTAACGATAGAGGGCCCTGCAGCAGAGGGGGAGACATCTTCACGGGTCGCCCCTGTCATCAGCCTCAATTCTACTTCCTCTTCTCCATCTTCAAATTCCTCATCGTCTTCATCATCTGAACAATAACCAAGAGTTCAAAATATGAAAAGAGTAAATTGTTTAATTTTACTTTAGTTTTACATTGATCTTGCTGTTGTTATAGTCTCTTTTGTGGCACTGGAAGAAGTGATTTTGGACATTGTGAAAGAACATTGAAATGCCGACGTCACACTCATTATACTCAATACTTCCTACCTTTCACAAAATCTATAGTGAGCAATGCCCTCCTCTCCCGCTCAAAGTTGGCTGTGTAGTGATCCATGTTGTCATAGCCACGCTCCACTTTGTCCAGATGGGAGATGTTAGTGCCTGCAATGAGCCTGGTGGACCGAGAGAGAGATCACTGTTACACTGTCGTTTCTGAGGACCAGCACTATAGTCTGAAACTGGCAAAAGGGTATGTGTACTCACTTTTGTAGAAGAGGCTTTGCAGTCTGTGGGAGCAAAGATGAGAAAGGAATTACTTCTCAGAAAGCTCTGATGTAGACATTGCACAACATGTCTTCTGAGAAAACATCTCGGAAGACATTGCACAGCATGTTTGTAATAACATGTTACACTTTTTATTTAAACATAGTACATAACCAATTATGATATTGATTTATCACTGATACAGAATTTCAGATGGCTATGTGCCTATTTTATTTGTTATTTGAATAGATAAAGGCCATTCTTGTCCTTTCTGGACAAAAACTACATTTTTCATCACCTGCAGGAAGGTAGCCATTTCTGACTCCTCCATTGTCTGTATGCCTGTCTCCACAATCTTTGCCATGTTCTCCAGGTGCTCTCTATACTTCCTCATGAGGCCGTTTATATAGTCCAGTTTCTCCTGTTGCTCTGCGTTGATCTTCAGGGCCATGTCTCCTTTCCGCTCCTCCAGGATGGCGTAAAGGTGATCGAAACTTTCACACACTTTGGATTTCTGCCTCCTGCCATTCTCCTGTAAGACAGCCATGATTGTACTGTAAGGTTAAACTGACAAATAACTAGGTCATATAGATATTGTCAGTAGCGAAAATGATGGCGCATAAAAATTAAGAATACAATTTTTACCATCAATATTGTTTAAGTTTTATACAATGTGAAAATGCTGTTATAAATTAAACAAAAGGTTGAAGGCTTCACCTCAACGGCCTTACAGGTCTCATCCAGTTGACTCATGATGCCTTGAATCCTGTCGTTGTTCCCCACTAGCATGGCTATACAGTCAGTCAACTCAGTCTGGAACACACAGAGGAGCTCCAGCATTATTTTAAAAAATGACATTTTATGTATCAACTCTGATACTCTGTTCATTAGAAAAAATAGTACGTTTGATTTCAATTTGATATACCTGTAAAGCATCATTATGCAAAAAGGAAATAGACAGATATAAACGTAAAATAAATAAGTTAACCTTTTGCTTATTGAATACAGTGTTGAGTGGGGCCACATCACAGTCTTTGTGGGCTCCAAACACCTTGCAGAGAGAGCAGGTGGGCACGCCACACGTCACACAGTAGATGTTGATCTTCTCACCCTCATGCTCCTCACACATGGGCTGGTCACACTTGGCAGGCTCAGGCTCAGGCTTGCTGCTACAGTACAGGTGACAGTTATACTTTGGGGATCCCGTTTATTAACACTACACATTGGACAAAGACTTCATGGTGACCTTTTTAAAAACTCAGCAGCCCTGGTGTAATCGAGATACCAGTGAGAGTTTGTGAGCGAGGAAGCTATACTGTTAATCGAGCAGAGTAATGTCCGTCACACTGGCAAGTCACAAAAAACTGTTTGTGTCCACAGTGCCTAAAATGTGACTGTTCAAGCCATAATAATTTAACATCAAAGTAAGTGAAAGAATGTAGTACAGACAAACAGACTTTCTCCTCATGGAATGTTGGCATTTCAGAATAGCCATAATATATGTTTATTTGGCAACCAAGAGTATGCTAACATTTTGAATAACTGTTTTTAATAGTCCACTTGTGTTACGTAGGCCTAAACCACGGTTGCTTGATGAGCTTATCACACCACTGTGGCCAAAACGCTTGCTGCACTTGGCTCCCAGATTCAAGCAACGGTCCATGTGAAAATTGTATTTGTCTTGTCCCGGCAATCTACTCAATAACTTTAAATTGATTGTGCTAAAATTATACGCTAAAATGGCAGGAGCAGATGACATCTTTTCAGAGATTTACTGTTTTGGCTTTTTAGGATAACAAAAAGTAACTACCATGAATGTAGTTAAGTGAATTCTTGTAGCTATTGCAGATACATATTCTGTAGGGAATCTATGACGTATAGTTAGTGACAGAAGTTATGTTTTTCTACATTTTACATTTTAGTCATTTAGCAGATGCTCTTATCCAGAGCGACTTACAGTTAGTGAGTGCATAATTTTTTTTTTTTCATACTGGCCCCCCGTGGGAATCGAACCCACAACCCTGGCGTTGCAAACACCATGCTCTACCAACTGAGCTACACGGGGCCCGTCTATCCCTCCTAAAAGCAGACTATATACTATATTGATGTCTAGAGAATGTAGTACGGCTCAATGTGGATTAAAAATAGGCCTCTCTTAACTGACTGCTGACTAACAGGCAACGTGTCGAGCCACCCATGAGTCAACACCTGATTTCACAATGGTGCTCTACAAAAACAAATATATTCTCCTTCAATTTTCAATTTCTCATCAGTAGTTTTCCGATTCATTCTATATGTTGTTCTGGATAGTATGTAGTCTTCTTGATGTCCAGATTTGTTGGTGTGAGGGTTTGCTGTATGTCTAGTGGGCCAGACATACACGGGACTGCTGCTGAGTGCCTCCGACTAAATTGTTTGCCAATCTTTTTAAATAGGCCTGTAGTGTCTCACCTTGAGGACTCCTGTTTGTACATATCAACGATATTCTGTCTGTCTTAGACCAATTGTCTTAGGCCTGCTTTCTTCTCTTTGGCATTTATTGTCTCACCTTGATGACTCCTGTTCTTGTTTGTACATGTCAATTATATTCTCCACAAGCAGGTTCCTCTGCAGGCCATAGACGCCATGTCTGTCCAGGACCACCTCATGTCTGCAGGACGGGCAGCGGAAACGCCCCCCTGAAGATACCGTGGTTCCTCTGGTCGATAGATAAGGGTTTGAGGCCTACACAGGACAGCAGTGTATCAATGGCATTAGATAAAGCCGGTGGACATTTTTTAATATAGGCCTACCATTGTCTAAAATTGGTTAGTAGTATTTGCATTGTTTACTGGTTAAAACGTGTGTTAGTTTAATCTGTAATGGCATGGGTCAAGAGGAAACACTTGTTGTTTCTTTTCAGCATCACCCTGAAGAAGGAACAGTGATGCCGAAACGTTGGTGGTTTTTTACCCAATAAATTACTGGGAGGTTATACATGTGCGACTGTCTTTGTTTTTATAGCTTTTCTTTTCAGCATTACAAAATAAGTGGTAATTGAATAGTGACAATTGAAGGATGAGCAATACCTTCACTACAATTTCAGAATGCTGTACATGTAATGTATATGAATGGATAAACCTTTAAGAGACAGCAGTAAAGGTTAAAGGTTAAAAGTTCAGCTGTAAAATAACCAACCTACCTGGAAAATATCTTGGGCACATTTTCGACAAAGGTTGTGTTGACAAGGGAGAATGACCACCGGTTTGGTAAACATCTCCAAACAGATAGGGCAAATGAGCTGTTTCTCCAAGCTGTCCATGGTGCTGTCTTGCTTTGTGGAATGTGAATACCCCAGAGAGATGCTCATTGCACAATGGAAAAACAAAACCACTACTGCTGTCTTTAGGGATACCAACAAATGGTCCCCCAATGGTCCCTCAATCCCTAAAGAACTGACTTGGCAAAGATCAAAGATGTCTACTCCTTTAGAACAATGCAGAGTCACTGGGCCTGCTCAGGCGGTTGTTGCTGTCCTCAAAGTTCCTTCTAACGGATCACATTGCTCCCTAGCTGGCAATCCATTGAGTGTCACAGGCTGTTTTTAGAAACCCCACGTCAAGGGTTGCCATGCTTACTTGCCCATATATGAAAATGTCACGAGAAGGGTTAGGGTGTTCAGCTGTTACCACCTCTGAAACAGGAAGGGGTAGGCCCATACCTCTACCAAACAGAGTAGGCTTAAGTTGCCCCTAGACACTGATCTTGGGTCAGTTTTGCATTTCCCCCACTAATAGTTAAGGTTAGGATTGGGGGAGGGGAAGCTGATCCTAGATCTGTACCTAGACTTCACCCCGGATGGAGCCTTTCAAACAAACTCATGATGGCAAGTCACTGCTCTGACTCTTGAACAATAGTGGGCTTTAACTCTGTTTAGAGTTGTCAATCAGTAAACAATCATTGCTTTTGTAGAAAACATTAAAGTTAGCCTATATCTGTGAAATGATTAAGATCAATGTTAAAAGACTCCAGTCCACATCCCAATGACAAACATAATCTATTGCAAAACAGTGGTCACCTAATTTTTCAAACAAATACCAATACATAACCTTGAATAAATTACGCTATGCTGATACTGTAAGCAATGCCCCAGTCATACATTGATTGTGAACCTGTCATCAGCCTACAGCATTAAAACAAATACACCCTATATATACACTCATACCAATAAATCAGATACCATTTCATGTTGACTGTATAGGCAGATAAAACAATACATTTATTTTCAACAAAATACTTTTGTTGTATTTTTTATACATACACATACTGTAATATTTACACACTGAGCTATTTGTACTGTGTCACAAGTGAAGCCAAGGCACCCCAGAGTGTTTAGGTATTTAGGTAAGTGGACAGAGATGATGGATTTAGTTTGCAGGGGAACAATGACATCAACTACCTCCAATGAAAACAAAAAAACTGAAATCAAGAAAATGTTTTGAATAAAAACAACCAAAAGCACTTATTTACAGAGAATGTAATGGGGTTAGAGTGTGGGAACAGCCATTGACATAGAAATGAACTGTGTAGTGTTTATGTAGTCTAGTGCCTCTCTACGGTTTGTAGACGTCCAAGTTCAGGTGTAGCTTCGGTGCCCATCCCCAATCAACTGTGTCTTTTCACTGGCATTAGTTGGCTGGTGCACAACCGGAGTGTCCACATCTGGATTACACAACAACATTGTGAATAATGACACTAACATTCCCTACAATATCAAATGATCAGCATAGACACCTTTGTCAATCTTATTGTTGTATTTTCTCTCACTCCGTTCATTGATGTTACACTTTGTTTTCACTATTTAACGGTATAGTTAGTTTGTTTGTTGTTTGCAGGACATAAAGGTATGTTTAGAAATTATTTGTTCCTCTATTATTTTACCAAGATGTTATAGGAAATGTTTCTGAATGGCACAAAGATGATGTATCACATCAACACAAAGCCATCACAACTACTTGTTGTTGAATCTCCAGAGACATTAACTCATTGTACATAATTGCTCCTCAACTTCTCATAATTGATGCATTGGCAGAAACAATCAGCTATTTATCTGGCTACACTGATTCCCATACATTTGTAAACATGTAATAAACCTCTAAGTACCATTCACAGTAACAAAGTCAATTTGTAAGCCGGGATCTTTTTTCGAACATGGATGTTATATAAATATTGTGCTGTTGAACTCGTAGGAAAAATAGCAGCCTATGTGTTTCTTAAAGGGATACTTCGGATTTTGGCAATGAGGCCCTTTATCTACTCCCCCCCGCAGTGGAGGCTGGTGGGAGGAGCTATAGGAGGACAGGCTCATTGTAATGGCTGGAATGAAATGAATGGAACAGTATCAAACACATCAAACATATGGAAACCACGTTTGACTCCGTTCCATTTATTTCATTCCAACCATTAAAATGAGCCCGTCCTCCTATAACTCCTCTCACAAGCCTCCACTGGTGAAAAGTAGTCATGAGCTTTCACCTCCCTCCATGTTCACCTTTCCATGTGGACATTGGTCATCAGTTCCTTCTTGTGAAGGCTGTTAGTGGTATGACATGAACATCTTTCTGCTGGTGCTTGCGAGCATTCAACTTTGGCTATGTCAGTTGTTGTTCCCTTTCCCTCTTGCCCTTCTCAAGTGTGAAATGCTTGTGTGAGCTTGTGTGTGTGTGTTTGTGTGTGTGTGTGTGTGTGTGTGTGTGTGTGTGCATGTGTGAGTGCATGCGTGCTTGCATGTGTATGTGTGTGTGTGTGTGTGTGTGTGTGTGTGTGTGTGTGTGTGTGTGTGTGTGTATGTGTATGTGTGTGTGTGTGTGTGTGTGTGTGTGTGTGTATGTGTATGTGTGTGTGTGTATGTGTGTGTCTGTATACTGTATGTGTCTGCCCTCACTAACTGTGTCCCCTCACCAGTCTCCTTGTCGTGGCGGATCTCCTCCTCCAGGTCTTCAGGGGAGACATAGCTATCTGTTCCCTCTCCAGGGTGCATGGGCTTCAGCTTCCCACAGCAGCAGTTACAGCAGCAGCACAGGCAGCAGCAGCAGTAGCACCCTGTTGTCACGCCACACAGGGCAAAGAGACCCTGACAGGAGAGAGATATACAATGCCTTCGGAAAGTATTCAGACCCATTGACTTTTTCCACATTTTGTCACGTTACGGCCTTATTCTAAAATTGATGAAATTGTTTTTTGTGCTAATTTATAACAAATAAAAAACTGAAATCTACATTTGCATAAGTGTTCAAACCCTTTACTCAGTACTTTGCTGAAGCACCTTTGGCAGCGATTACAGCATCGAGTCTTCTTGGGTATGATGCTACAAGCTAGGAACACCTGTATTTGGGGAGCTTCTCCCATTCTTCTCTGCAGATCCTCTCAAGCTCTGTCAGGTTGGATGGGGAGCATTGCTAAACAGCTATTTTCAGGTCTCTCCAGAGATGTTCGATCGGGTTCAAGTCCGGGCTCTGGCTGTGCCACTCAAGGACATTCAGAGACTTGTCCCGAAGCCACTCCTGCGTTGTCTTGGCTGTGGGCTTAGGGTCAATGTCCTGTTGGTCCTGAGGTCCTGAGCACTCTTGAGCAGGTTTTCATCAAGGATCTCTCTGTACTTTGCTCTGTTCATCTTTGCCTCGATCCTGACTAGTCTCCCAGGTCCTGCCACTGAAAAATATCCCCACAGCATGGTGCTGCCACCACCATGCTTCACCGTAGGGATGGTGCAAGGTTTCCTCCAGACGTGACGCTTGGCATTCAGGCCAAAGAGTTCAATCTTGGTTTCATCAGACCAGAGAATCTTGTTTATCATGGTCTGAGAGTCCTTTAGGTGCCTTTTGGCAAACTCCAAGCCGGCTGTCGTGCATTTTCTTGAGGAACGGCTTCCACTGGCCACTCTACCATAAAGGCCTGATTGATGGAGTGCTGCAGAGATGGTTGTCCTTCTGGAAGGTTCTCCCATCTCCACAGAGGAACTCTAGAGCTCTGTCAGAGTGACCATCGGGTTCTTGGTCACCTCCCTGACCAAGGCCCTTCTCCCCTGATTGCTCAGTTTGGCCGGGCGGCCAGCTCTAGGATGGAGGCCACTGTGTTCTTGGAGATCTTCAATGCTGCAGAAAGTTTTTGCTACCCTTCCCCAGATCTGTGCCTCAACACAATCCTGACTCGGAGCTCTACGGACAATTCTTTCGACCTCATGGCATGGTTTTTGCTCTGACATGCATTGTCAACTGTGGGACCTTATATAGACAGGTGTGTGCCTTGCCAAATCATGTCCAATCAATTGTATTTACCACAGGTGGACTCCAATCAAGTTGTAGAAACATCTCAAGGATGATCAATGGAAACAGGATGCACCTGAGCTCAGTTTCGAGTCTCATAGCAAAGGGTCTGAATACTTATGTAAATAAGGTATTTCTGTTTTTCAATTTTGATACATTTGCAAAAAAATCTGAAAACCTGTTTTTGCTTTGTCATTATGGGGTATTGTGTGTAGATTGCTGAGGATTTTATTTATTTAATCAATTTTAGAATAAGGCTGTAACGTAACAAAATGTGGAAAAAGTCAAGGGGTCTGAATACTTTCCCAAGGCAGATATAAACATATAAACATGCACACAGACACACTCAAACACAAACTCAGTAGCTCGCACCAATCTTTCACCTCCATTCATAATAAAATCATCCAGGGATTCCGGATAATTGTGAAAGCTCACCTTAGCCCACCAGGTAGAGAGCATGAAGTAGGTGTTGACATTCTCCTCTCCAAACTGCTGGGCCACATAAAGGCCAAGGGAGCCGTAGCTGTCATAGATGTTTCTCTTGGTGATGTCTGACAGAATGGAATTAGCGCTGTTGAGCTCCTTGAATTTCTCTGCTGTCTCTGGGTTGTCAGGGTTCTTGTCCGGGTGGTACCTCAGAGCTAATTTTCTGAAAGGTATTCAAAAGTAAATCAATGAACACACAATAACAATAACAGAAACAGGGTGAGATGGAGTGTAAAGATAGATGCTGTATTGTCTGTTTAGTGTTTACCCTACAGCTCTATGCTCTATGGGATTTCATTAAGGTATTCTCTTTGACTTATCTAGACACACACTTGTTTGTCTGGATCTATCCCTGCTGGAGCTAAGCCCACTGCCCTATCTGGAAGACGACAACACAACGGAGATGTGGCATCTGCTGTGGTGCGTGAACATGCTCTGCAAATGTCTTTTTTAGTATTAGAAACCACTTCGGAGTATAGCTGTGGGATGATGTTTAGGTGGTGGGGTGCTGAGAGGTTATTATTATTTATTTATTTATTTTATTCTGATTTATCAGGGGGTGCTGCAGCCCACTCAGCACCCCTACTTCCCGCAGCTATGCTTCAGAGTTATCGATGTTCTTGAAAATTGCTAACACATATTTAAGATATTGAATTAATAAAGTTCAGAGAATATGAAACATGAACATAATTAGGGGTTATTCATGTCTGCAGTTAATAATAACATTGCAACTACCATCTTACCTCAAAATAGATAACCGGGCATAAGGCATAAATCTATAAATGTATTACATTCTTTGTTTAAACAACATTAGGGCATTGATAAACATGATTTGCTTCTTTACATAAGTTGAACACAACAACACTGTTACTACATGTCCTATCAGTTCTCATCAATTTTCTGCCATGCTGTGGAAAATAAGTTACATTGATTTTTGCCTAGTTTCCATAACAAACCAAAAATAGAGTGAGATGAATTAACATTACATTAGTAGAAAACAAACGTTCCAATCATACATATAGATTCAGTGATAAATGTTAAAAGAGGGGCATATCTAGAGTTGAGCGTGTGTAGAACACATGAGTGTGCATAGATTTAGTATGGATTAGACTGCATTGGAAAATGTGAGTCATCATGGTACGAGTGTCTGTAAGTGATGATCACACAATTTCTTCCCAACATCTCATGTGATACAGTATATGAGAGATATACAATGAGTATACAAAACATCAAGGACACCTGCTCTTTCTATCACATAGACTGACCAGGTGAATCCAGGTGCAAGCTATGATCCCTTATTGATGTGACTTGTTAAATCCACTTCAATCAGTGTAGATTTGTATTTGTAATGGTATTTATTATGAATCCGACAAACAGACAGCTCGGTGCATTCAACATGTCAATACCTCTCATAAATACAAGTAGTGATGAAGTCGATCTCTGCTCTACTTTGAGCCAGGAGAGATTGATATGCATATTATTAATGTTAGCTATCTGTGTACATCCAAGGACCAGCCGTGCTGCCCTGTTCTGAGCAATTTTCCTAAGTCCCTTTTTGTGGATCCTGACCACACGACAGAACAGTAGTCCGGGTGCAACAAAACTAGGGCCTGTAGGACCTGCCTTGTTGATAATGGTGTTAAGAAGGTAGAGCGGCGCTTTATTATGGACAGACTTCTCCCCATCTTAGCTACTGTTGTATCAATATGTTTTGACCATGACAGTTTACAATTCAGGGTTACTCCAAGCAGTTTAGTCAACTCAACTTGCTAAATTTCCACATTATTTATTACAAGATTTAGTTGAGGTTTAGGGTTTAGTGAATAATTTGTCCCAAATACAACGCTTTTAGTTTTAGAAATATTTAGGACTAACTTATTCCTTGCCACCCACTCTGAAACTAACTGCAGCTTTTGTTAAGTGTTGCAGTCATTTCAGTCGCTGTAGTAGCTGACGTGTATAGTATTGAGTCGTCAGCATACATAGACACACTGGCTTTACTCAAAGCCAGTGGCATGTCGTTAGTAAAGATTGAAAAAAGTAAGGGGCCTAGATAGCTGCCCTGGCTTTGAGTAAAGATGAAGGGGAGGAGACAGGTTAAAGAAGGATTTTTAAGCCTTGAGACAATTGAGACATGGATTGTGTATGTGTGCCATTCAGAGAGTGAATGGCCAAGACAAAAGATTAAAGTGCCTTTGAACGGGGTTTGCTAGTAGGTGCTAGACGCTCCGGTTTGTGTCAAGAACTGCAACGCTGCTAGGTTTTTCATGCTCAACGGTTTGTGTCAAGAACTGCAACGCTGCTGGGTTTTTCATGCTCAACGGTTTGTGTCAAGAACTGCAACGCTGCTGGGTTTTTCACCCTCAACAGTTACCCGTGTGTTTCAAGAATGGTCCACCACCCAAAGGACATCCAGCGAACTTGATACAATTGTGGGAAGCATTGGAGTCAACATGGGCCAGCATCCTTGTGGAACGCTTTCGACACCTTATAGAGTCCATGCCCCGACGAATTGAGGCTGTTCTGAGGGCAAACGGGGGGGGATGAAACTCAATATTAGGAAGAAGTTGCTAATGTTTGGTATATTTCCCACCTGTAGGACTTCTTGATGTCATCATGGGTACAGCCTTTTTCTAGCCCAAGCACTTGATACAGAGACTCTCCCGAGGTGGACAGAGAGCGCTGCCTTGGTTCAGACATCCTACCACCATTACCTGCTGGAGGTAAGAGGGAGGACAATGGTGAATTAGATTCATACCAATACAACCATTTAAAAACACACTCAGTCAAACCATGAAACTCTCTTTTGACAGAAAATAAATGTACAATCAAGAAATTATCATAGAACGGGACAAAATAGGTACCTGGCTTCCCTAATATTATGCAGCAGTTATCCTTCTTATTCCTTTATGTTATCAAAGTTCTCAGTTAAAGTCCTCTCTCTACCTGGTGAGGTGTATGGTGACGATTGAGTTGCAGTGGACTGCTAGCTACTGTTTCTCAGACCTGAGGTGCGGTGAAATGAAACATTCATAAACTAGAGGGCTTGAGTTTCACAGGCCACCAATGGGTCTGCTATACACGCCTGTGTAGGCTTGATCAGGTTTCAGCTGAGACGGTCTGTTGCTTGTATTGTGTGCGACTGAAGGTAGGCATGACGACTCCTTGGTAAGGGTCTGGGAGAATGATTAGTATAAACATATCAGTTTCACTTAAAGTCAAAAGGTTTGACAGCAATGCCGCATACAATTCAAGTCAGTTGGGAACAGGTCTTTGATGTCCCAAACCTTGGCATCAGGTTTATCAACTGATACAGTATATAAAACAACAATTGACACATCAATCCGTTCGTTTCAATTTAAGCTATTATATAAAATACTTCCTACAAAAAGAATGCTCAATATATGGGGCAATGAACTGTCAGCCCTGTGCAGACTCTGCCACGAGGAAACAGAATCAATAGAGCATATTTTCTGGTACTGTCCATCGGTGGCTCGTTTTTTGGAGTCAGGCCCAGGAATGGTTTTCATGTCATAATATCAGGGTTCAGATGGACCTGCTAACTGTATTTTTAGGGGATCTGAAAAACCCAGAACAGTCAATTTAAAATAGCATTATACTCTTGGGTAAAGTATTAATTTTTAAGGCAATATCAGTAGAAATGTTACTTATAGGGAGGTTCAAGACCCTCATAAGACATCACAGTAAAAGGGAGGGATGTATTGCTAAAGGAAATAGCTCAACTGTATTATACTGGGAAAGATGGGTTATCTGTGGACATCGGGGGGTTTGAGTTAAGAACAGAATGAATGGTGGATTGACTGCTGTGGGTGAAAGTCCATCAATTGCAGAAAGAGGAAATTAGGAATATATGTATAATTATTTAACTTCCAAATTAAAATGTTTTAAGGTAAGGCTTACATTCACCATTTCAAAGGAAATAGTGCCACCTAGCACATGGACATGGGTAGTGGAGGATAGTTGTGAATACTATTTTTCCCAGTGTGCAAAGGTTTGTTGTAGCTCACTGTCACTGTTTGTAATAGCACTGTATGTAATAGCATATTTTCATCGCAGGGTGGTGACAAACACACAGGAATGTTTTGGTGCGCTGTCACTGTACTGTAGTAGAACACAATGTGTCAGGAGACAATGAAGAACATGAAGAAAATAGAAATTGTAATGCCAATATAACGTTGTACATATAATGTAATGGCAGTTACATATACATTATCACATTTTAAATGAGATTATAAACTGGGTAGTTTGGGTCCTGAATGCTGATTGGCTGAAAGCTGTAGTATATCAGACAATATACCACGGGTATGACAAAAAAAATACTTGTTACTGTTCTAATTACGTTGGTAACCAGTTTATAATAGCAATAAGGCACCTCTGGAGTTTGTGGTATATGGCCGTGTTGTGTCGTGCCTAAGAACAGTCATGGTATATTGGCCATATAGCACACTTCCTCAGGCCTTATTGCTTGAATATAGTATTACATTTTAAATTAGAATAGTATTACATTTTAAATGAAAATATATAGGGCATATGGCTGATAAAGTGAACATATGGCAGGAGGAGTGAATAGTTAGTTTCTCCTGTTTTACGAACTATGTCCTCAGACATAAATGCAAATGTTCCTTTGGGAAAAAAACAACAACATTGATTCTGTTTTCAGTGCATGTCTGCTAATCTCTGAGCCATAATTGTTATTTGGACTCCTCCCTGTGGGATGACATGGTGGCGGTGGTGACTGAGCATACAGTGCACACACACACACACACACACCACAGCCATAGCCATGGGTCTCCTAGGAAACTGTAAGTCGCTCTGGATAAGAGCGTCTGCTAAATGACTAAAATGTTAAATGAAACACCCAGGTGGAAAGGCTCACCTGTGCTGTATTAGTGGCTTCCTGGCTGGCTCCTCAGGGGTCCCGCCAACGATAAGAATGTCTACCCTGGGACTAGTCTGTGGTTTCCCAGGGTAGACATTGTTGTGGAAATCATTAATTGAAGTGGATGCCCTTTGACTTGCCTCATCACAGTGGTAGGCCTTAATAACAGGTGTAGTAAAGCTTCAGTTACAATCACAGGGAAACTGAATGTGTAAACACACCTTGCATCCATTAAAAAAATCATTACAACTATTTAAAATCATAACATTTTGCTTGTGAAATGGAGTACCTCTATTAATCCTACAAGACCTGTGCTATTTTTCTTGTCTCTGAATATTTACTTATTCTATCTGGATATGACTGCCATAGGGCTGTACAATATGTAGTGAGTTCATGTTGCAGCATCCGTACTGTATCAGCACTGTAACGGTGTTTAGTGTAGCTGCAGATGTAAATCCTTGCCCCATATCCTGCTTT